GGAAATCACTGGGCTGCTCTGGTCTAGCCTCAGGTGGCTCAGGATGGAGCCAGGTAAGCAAAAACCCCAAGGGCAAAAGACATTGGTTGTATATAGACCAGTGCCTGCTTGACCCTTAGGGCTCAGTCATCCACTTTAGTAACCTCAGGCACAATGGTAAAACCCTGTGACCCTAAATCATGTTCCCACTGCACCTTGAAATTCCTCCAACAATGAATCTTTCTGGTAACGATTTGTGATTGTAAAAGCATAAACTTCTTGGGGAAGGGTCAATTTCATATTGACCATTAACACCTTAATATGAATGAGTACAACAATCATTATTCAACAACAGAATATCTTCTTTGTGCATTATAGCTCACATCTCTGGGCTTCATACATGTTATTTCCTCCGCTGAAGTTCCTCCCTACCCGCTCCTGCCTTCTCCTCAGCTAATTCATACCCCTTGCTTCTCTAATGAGGTGATATTTCTTTATTAGAGCCCTCCAGGATATTCTTCTCTCTTCCCAGAACTGTGATTGGTGCCCTTGTCCCACATTTTCATGACTCCTGAGCTGGCTTCATTCAAAGCACTTATCACTTATCTCACAGCATGGGAATTATGTGTTTACTCAGCTTAATCCTTAGCCATTCCTTCTCCCTCATCTCTTAGCTCTGAACATCCAAGCCGTCACTAACCCTTCTCCAAGACACCTACCATCTCTTGAATGTTTTCACTTCTTTCCACCCCCCTAGAATAGGCCAGCATCATCTTTCTCCTAGATTGCTGTCATCCTGTCCTAACTAGTTTCCCTGCCACAGAATTGCCCCCGTCTGGTCCATTTTCTACAGTGCAGCCAGAGGGATTCTGCAATGCAGCTCTGAGTATGTCACTCAGCTGAGTAAAACCCTTCAGCAGTTCTCAGTTGCCTTCAAAGTCCAAATCTCTGAGCATGATTTACAGTACTGTTCATAGTCAGGTCCCTGATTATTTTCTCAACATTATGCTTGCTACCTCCCACCTACTCCCCTTGCCCTTCACATTCTGGAAACACTGAGCTTCTTCTGCCTCCAGGCCTGTGCCCCATACGTGCCATCTTTCCAGACCACTCTTCCTCCCTTCACATGCCTTCCAGGGCCCACTCCTTCTCAGCTTCAAGAACTCAATTCAGTTGTCACTCTACTGATAAGTCTTCCTTGGCTGTCCTTGCTGGGACAGGAGTCTCTCCTAGGTTTTCCCACAACCTCTTCTTCCTAGCCTGCACCAACCAGAGCACTAATCATACTGTATTTTACCTGTCTCTTCTTTTCAATAGCCCCTTTTAGCAGGCAAGCTCTATGAGGCAGAGGTCATATCTGTCTTATTCATCACCTAAATACCCATGTACTCATCTGACAATAAGTATGAAATATATATTTGTTGAATTAACAAATCATAGCTGGCTGGGTGCGGTGGCTCATGCCTGTAATCTCAGCACTTTGGGAGGCTGAAGTGGGTGGATCACCTGAGGTAAGGAGTTTGAGACCAGCCTGACCAACATGGCGAAACCCCATCTCTACTAAATACAAAATTAGCTGGGTGTGGTGGCACATGCCTGTAATCCCAGCTACTGGGGAGGCTGAGGCAGGAGACTCGCTTGAACCTAAGAGGCGGAGGTTGCAGTGAGCCAAGATCACACCATTGCACTCCAGCCTGGGCAACAAGAGTGAAACTCCATCTCCAAAAACAATAAAAACAAAGAAATAAATAAATAATAGCTAATATTCATATAATGTTTAATATGTGCTAGGCAATCTTTTTTTAAAATATACTTTAAGTTCTGGGATACGCATGCAGAACGTGCAAGTTTGTTACATAGGTATACATGTGCCATGGTGGTTTGCTGCGCCCATCAACCCATCATCTACATTAGGTATTTCTCCTAATGCTATCCTTCCCCAGCCCCCAACCCCCTGTCTGGCCGCGGTGTGTGTTGCTCCCCTCCCTGTGTCCATGTGTTCTCATTGTTCAACTCCCACTTATGAGTGAGAACATGTGGTGTTTGGTTTTCTGTCCCTGTGTTAGTTTGCTGAGAATGATGGTTCCAGTTTCATCCATGTCCCTGCAAAGGACATTAACTCATTCTTTCTTATGGCTGCATAATATTCCATGGTGTATATGTGCCACATTTTCTTTATCCAGTCTATCATTGATGGGCATTTGGGATGGTTCCAAGTCTTTTCTATTGTGAATAGTGCTACAATAAACATACGTGTGTGTGTCTTTATAGTAGAATGATTTATAGTCCTTTGGGTATATACCCAGTAATACAATTGCTGGATCAAATGGTATTTCTAGTTCTAGATCCTTGAGGAATTGCCCCACTGTCTTCCACAATGGTTGTAATTTACACTCCCACCAACAGTGTAAAAGTGCTCCTATTTCTTCACATCCTCTCCACCATCTATTGTTTCCTGACTTTTCAATGACTGCCATTCTAACTGGTGTGAGATGGCATCTCATTGTGGTTTCGATTTGTGTTTCTCTAATGACCAGTGATGATGAGCTTTTTTTCATATGTTTGTTGGCCGCATAAATTTCTTCTTTTGACAAGTGTCTGTTCATATCCTTTGCTCACTTTTTGATGGGGTTGTTTTTTTTTTTTCTTGTAAATTTGTTTAAGTTCCTTGTAGATTCTGGATATTAGCCCTTTGTCAGATGGAGAGATTGCAAAAATGTTCTTCCATTCTGTAGGTTGTCTGTTCACTCTGATGATAGTTTCTTTTGCTCTGCAGAAGCTCTTTAGTTCAATTGGATCCCATTTGTCAATTTTGGCTTTTGTTGCCATTGCTTTTGGTGTTTCAGTCATGAAGTCTTTGGTGCTGCGCAATCTTTTAAGTGCCTTATGTATACTAACTCATTCAATTCTCACAATAACCCAATGAATTAGGTATATTATTCCTACTGTTCAGAGAAGATAAGTGATTTCCCAAAATGTTGGGCACCTAATGAAGAGCTGGGATTGAAAGTGAGTACCCTGGCTGCATGTGTTTATCTTCCTTCCCAAACTACCTCTCCAGCACCTGCACCATTCCATATTCACTTCTGTGTCTCTCTTGCCTAACACATGGTAGGGTACCCTCCACCTACTGAGAAACAAGACTCACATCCCTGACTCAGGAATAGGTGAGGGGGGCATGCAGGGTAATATGTAGAGGAGGAGGAACCTGAGGTTGGTCCTAGGGGATCAGTGGAGAAGGACCATTCTCGGCTGGTCTATAAAGGCAGGACAACTGAAGGGGCATTTCAGGGAGAAAACACAGAGTGAGCAACAGTGCAGAAATGATTTACCATGCATCCATCTATCCATCCATCCACCAACAAGCATATTTGGAAGCCTCCAGTGTGTCAGGGTTTGTGTGAGAGGAGTGTTTGGTGGGAGGGGTCTTGGTAGGTCACAGTGGAAAGGACAAAGTGGAGTGGGAAGAAAATATGCAGTTGCTTGCATTTGCAGGACTGTTGGGCAGTTGCCACAGGCCTTCCTTCAGTGCTGTCTGGGGCTGGGCCAGGTCTTCTGGGCCATTACTCCATCCAGGACCATGGTGATAGACAAGTGTTTGAGAAATAGGCAAGTGAGTTCTCAGTGAGTTCTTCTTCTTCAAGAAGTCCCCAAGCTGGGGTTGGACATGGCCTAGAACATGAAACCTAGCGTTTACAGAGCACCTACTATGTGCCAGGCACTGCACTGGCTGCTTTGCCTAAAAGTGCATTTTAATTTTCAAAACAATCCAGTAATGAAGGCTATTTTATCTCTTTTTTGCTATGGGAGGTTAAGGAATTTGTCCAAGGCCACATAACTGGTAATGGCACTGTCAGGACTCAAACCCAGGCAGGTCTGTCTCCAGAACCATGAGCTTTCCACTATCCTGGCCCATTTCCTGATTTGAAGGCACCTTTTCTGTCAAAGCCTGAGTCATCCCAGGCCAGTGCCTGATGGGAGAAGGAAAAACACCAGACAAGCTGTTTATGACAGTGAAATGTACTGCAGGCTTGCTGGGCTCTGGGGCTGCCACCTGCTTTCTTCCTCTGGATGTGACTGACCTTCTCTGTCCTTTTGTTTAAAAAGTTCACAAGCTGGCATTGGGCATGACCTCTCTGAGCAGCAGACTCTGGAGGCCGTCTCACCCAGCTTTCACCCAGCCAGTCTCCAGCTGGCTGGAGGAAACCAAATCGTGGTTGTGTGCACCAGCAGTAAGAGCTACAGGGCACAGAGGAAAGCAGAGGTTCCTGTGGATTGAGCTAAAAGATTGCAGCAAACGTTTTTGAGGCAGATGTATTTAATCCAAATCCTGTCTCTGCCACATGCTGTGTATGGCAGATTGTATTTTCCAAAGATGTCTGCAACAATATCTCCAATCTCACATGTTATTATAGTACATGACCTTGCCACTCCTTCCTCTGAGTAGTATACCCTTCCCTTGAATTTGAATGGGTTCAGTACTTGTTTGTAACCAAAAAAATGGCAGAAGTGAGAGAAGTGCAATAGTGGGATTTCTGAGGCGAGGCCAGAAAAGGTGAAGTAACTTGTCCTTGCTTGCTGAAATTCTCAAGCTGGAGTCCTGAGCCTCCATGTGAGCAGTCTGACTGCCCTGAGATCCTGAGACTATAGAAAGAGAGAGGAGAGAGATTCCTAGCCAGCCTACAGCTCCTCCAGCACTCTACTGTTCCATCTCCAGCCATTGTCTGACAGCAACACACCACTCTCTAAGCTAGAACCAACCAGCTGAGGCCTCCTCAAATTTCTGACCCACAGAGAACGTAGGAAAATAGCTATTGTTTTAAGCCACTAAGTTTTGGGGAGATTTTCTAATGTAGAACTAGAGAACTAGAACACTGTGTGATCTTGCATGAGCCATTTCATTTTCCTGAGTTGCAGTTTCCTGCTCACAGTGTTGTTGGGATGAAGAGTGTGACTGCACCTAGTTGATGAATAACATAGGGGTTGGATGAATGAATGAATGAATGAATGAATGAATGAATGAATGAGGAAGAGAGAAACCTGATCCCTTTCTCACACTGAGAGCCAGACTTAAAGCAACTATAGGAGGTAGCTTTGTAAATCAATCCTCTTGAACTCTGCTAGGGAAAGGGGATGGGCTGTTCCAGCAAAATGTGCCACTGTAAGGTATTGATCATTTTGGACAGGATCTGTTTAGAAGCCAGTGTTTTAAAGATGGGCATTGTCTGGGACAACTCTCTTCCCTTCCCCCTCCAACCCTATTACATATTCCCTAACCCTGAAAGTCTCACTCTAGATTATTTACTGCAATGGCCCTGTTTGAGTCAAGAAATAGGACATGGGCAGGAGGAGAGGAGGGATTGATTGAACATTTTCAATTAAAACAAGCTGTCTTTGAACAAAGATTTAAAATCCAGGCAAGAAAGGCAATAATTCTCTTGGCTGGAATGCTTTCCACTGTATTGTAGAATTAAGAGATAAAAAATTGGGGGTGAAAACTCCCAACTATTCATTATAAACAAAAATCTCAAGATGGTCTGTAAGTTAAAAATCTCATCATTTTCTGGTTCCTATGTAGGTCATTGATCTCTTTCTCAAAAATGGCAGGGTATAGCCAGCCACATGGGGAAGATGGAATCAAGACACTTAAAGCAATAAACCAGGAGAATTCAGCTGGGATTGTCCAAAACTTGGACTGATTCTGTGACTTTCATACAGAGGTCTTTTGAAAAAAAGGGCAGGTGTAAGTATCCCCAGCCTCCTATTTAATGGGGACCTTCAACAGGTAATGAAGGTTTGAACATTTACTGTTCATTCTCATTCATTCACTCATTCCTTCACGCATCCATTCAAATGTTTGCTGGGCTCCTCCCATGTATATACTGCTATGAAGAGGACAGGGATTGGGGTTAAAGGAAAATTGGACAAATACACTTTATAGCCTAGAGAAGGAAACTGACATGTTCCAGTTAACTATATTACCTGAGAGGCTGTTGCACTGTCATCTTCAGAAAAGCAGGAACTATTTTTTTTTTAAAGTTTACTCCACAATGCATACAGTGTAGTTACTATCACCTATCCTTACCAAAGCCCTGCAAAGTCAAAGTACAATTCTACATTATATTTCACAGATGAGGACATTGAAAACAAGAGAGTTTGCATAACTAATTCAGTCTCATGGCATGAATGTAACAAAGGTAGCATATGAACTTCAGTGTCTTCTAACAGCGTGCATATGTTGTTTCCCTTCTTGAGTGTAATCATAAATTCGAACACAAAATTCTGTGGATGTGTGGAAGGAGACTGAATTCCAAATGGAGGAATTATAAAAAGCTTCATGGAGGTGCACATACAACAAAGATTTGAAGGACAAAGACAGGTCTTAAAGTGGGAGGAAGAGAAAGACAAGTATCAGCAGAGAAACGGAGTGTGGCCAGGCACATGACATGAAATAACACAGAAAAGGGTCCGAGGGCCCATGTAGCTAAACGTGTAGAGTGGAATGTGATGCTGAAATATTAGGCTAGAGACAAGTGAGTGAAGGCTTTGAATGTCAAGTTAAGAAACTTAAACTTCTATTCTGTAGGCAATAAAAGCCAATGAACATATATGGGTTGTATTTGTCACTCATTTAGTCAATGTATATTTACTGATCATCTACTATGTTTATTATGTTCAGGCTTTTTGGAAGGCTCAGGGTATACTATGGTTAAAATCAAAGAAGACAAAACCAAGACAATGGTTCTTAAGTCTAGAAGCAGAGATAAATAGCGAGGTAGTAAAACAAACAAATCAAAAAAACCACACACACATATTGCACTTAATATAGTACTATGAAGAAAATGCACAGAGTCTGTACCTGCAGATAATGCAGGCATGGGAAGGCCTCTCTGAGGAAGAGATATGAACTGGGAGTGAACAGTGACTGCAGCAGTACCTATGAAGGGGAAGGGTGTCTGGGAAGGGTCCTCAGCTGAGAGACAGAAACTGGAAGAGGGCTGGCGGAGGGTGATGGGCAAGGGCTAGATCACCAAGACCTCTGGGCCACCTTAAGGAGTCTGGACTTTCTTGGTGAATGGGAAGCTACTGAAGAGTTTGAAGCAGGAAAGTGACACCATCTTATTTTTATTTCCAAAGGTCACTGCTGCACTAAAAGAGAAGGCAAGAGTGGAAGCAGGCAGAGTAGCCAGGGACGACTGCAATGGTCCAGGAGAGGACAAGGGAGACCCCGGCTGTTCAGAGGCAGTAGAGATGGGGAGACATATTTGTGGGAAGAGCCAACAGGACCTGCTGCCAGGTTGGATGTGGGGCCCAAAGGAGAGGAAGGAGTGAAGGATGACTCCTTCATCTTTGGCTTTAGCAGCTGGGTCAATGGGGTGCCCTGATCTGGCATTTGAAAGAATGAGGCAGTAAGAGCTTCAGGGGAGAGAGTAGGAGGTCAGTTCAGAGCATGTTGGGTTTGAGCTACAAGACATTAAGTATCCAGGGTCTGAATCAGAAATGGGGAAAAAAATCAGAAAATGGGAATTGTTTCTGAATTTTCAGCTCTTTGGGATTATTCATGCTACAAATTCTTGCTGACTGTGCAGTGTGTTCCATTCTGCTCAGCTCTCCACCTCTTCCTGTCTGCTCTCAGGGTGTCCCAAGGGCTTTAGGAGAATGGCAATAACTGAAGGATCCTCTGTTCTCCTGTCTCAGGGCCTCAGATCTGGGGCCTTGAGTGTGCACACAAGTGGGAATCAAGAGACCAACATGGTTTTCATCATTAACTAGCCATGTGACCTTGGGCCATTTCCCTTCACTGGGCCTAACTTCTCTGTGGGTAAATGTGGTCTCTCGAGTCCTTTTTCAGCTAACACGGTATATTCAAGCAAAGCCTTCAATACAATAAGCTTATGAGAAATCCTATCCTCATTCTTTCATTCACAAATATATATGGAGAACTGATCATGTGCCGTTATTTTAGACACTTGACATATACAGTGAACAAAACTGACAAAGACCTCTGTCTTTATGGAGTTCAAATTCTAGCTATGGAAAACAAGCTGTAGACCTAATAATACATGTGTAAATTATATAGAATGCTGGAACGTGGTAAGTGCTATGGAGTAAAGATAAAGAATAGGGTAAGGGGAGGGCTGGGGACAAGGAGAAGATCACAGCATTAAGTAGAGCGCTCAGAGAGGCCTCCTTGAGAAGGTGGGGTGGGGATGGGCTTGGGGAGGTGAAGGTGCTGGCCAGCATCAAAGCGGAGTTAATCCTCCTCATCTGAAACACAGCCCTGACCGGTCATTTCACAATTAGACTCTTGCTAAATCCAACCCAATCCCAAACTGGGGATAATAATCAACCTCAGGGATGAGTCCTCCCTCGTGGGGTCAGGAACACCTCTTTCGTAGCAATGGCTGTTTTTTGTCTGCAGGTCCAGGTCCTCTTCGCCTCCCAGAGCAGCTTCGGCGGAGACAAGTCTCACACACATCCTCTCGTCTGGCCTGTGGCCTCCCTTCCCTGCCCTGCTCCTCCCCTTGTGGACTCATCTCTGAAGCCTTCTTCATACTTCTCACTCCCTGCAACTCTTCTAGAACCCTCAGCAAGTTCAGCTGGCCTAACTGCACTAAAGGGTGCTGAGCTCTGCCCCGCTCCTCAGACATAATATCCCACTTCTCCTTTCCCCCTACTTGTGGGCCATGGCAGCTCTGGTTACCATCCCTATTTTGCAGATGAAAAATCAGAAGTCACTTGTCTGATGAGTCACATCAAGTATTGGCGCAAGGAGGATTGAAACCCATTTGTTCATTTATATATTCATATTAAGTGGTTTCTATGTGACAGACACTGTTCTAGGAGCTAGGATACAACAAAGAGAAAACAGACATATCTCTGTCCTCATAAAGGTCTTTTCTTGCCATTATCCTGCTTCCAAATAAGAAAATTGAACTCCTACCTGCTCCGTGTTTGGAAACTCCCACCTAGAATTCATTTTCTGCTCATACTCCTGCCCCTCCCAGCAACAGATGATCACCATTAAAGGGGGAAGATTAATTGTGCAGAGGGATAGGCCAAGGAAAAGTGATTTCTCTTTGGTAAGGCTGACAGCGCTGCTAGAATATTAAAAGGCACCTGCCTAGGAGCCTCTAGGGAAGGCCAGAAGAAAAATGTGACAATGAAATAGCTTTTGTCTCTGCCTCCCTACCAATCCTCCCACAGTGTCGGACAAGTGCATGACTAAACAGATGAATCCTTCTCTGAAGCGCAGTGTGGAGGCTGCCGATGTAATTGCAGAGTCCTTTCCCATTGCAGGCAAGTCCGGGGGCACCCCCTAGGTAAGAAGACCTGTAAAGGAGAGGAGAGGAGAGAGGAAAGGGAGATGGAGAAAGAGAGAAAGCGAGAAAGAGAGAGAGATGGATTAGAGAGTCAGGGATGGACAGCAGGAGAGAGGAAGAGACAAAGAGGCCGCAGAGGCAGAGACTAGAAGCGAAAGAGATGCAAACCAACAGAAAAATACAGAGAAACTGGTCAGGATGAAGCAAGAAGATAAGGAGAGAAGGATAATCAGAGAGGCTGAGAGAGACTCAGGCTTGAAAACTGAGAAGAAATGGGGTGGGGGCAGAGAGAGAAAAATGGAGCAAATGACAGAAAAGGAAAGAATCAAACTGAAAGAGGCGTGAGAGAGATACAAATGTAGGCAATAGGAGAAGGGAGGGAGAGGGGAAAGAAAGGCAAAAGATGAGATAGAAAGAGACAAAAGGAAAAAATGCAGAGAAGCACAGCCGCAGAGGACAGACTGTAAATGAGATGTGTAAGACTGAAATAGCGACAGGAACAGTGAGAGACTGAGAAGGACTGAGAGAAGAAGGTGGAGAGACACAGACGGGGACGGGAAGTGAGGCCTTTTTTGATGGGCGAAATGCAATTCCACAGAGTAGGTATTTCCTGAGAGGCTCACTTCACGGAGGAGGCTGGAGATGAATGCTTATACGGAAATTGTGGGAAGAGTGTCCAATTCATCACAGAATGAATTAAAGTTTGGGGTAAGTATAAGGCTCGAAATTAGTTTTCCATTGCCACTGTAACAAATCACCACACACTTAGTGGCTTAAAACAACAGACATTTATTCTCTCAATTCTGGAGGCCAGAAGTCAGAAATCAGTTTCACTGGGGCCAAACTCTAGGTGTCACAGGCCTGCATTCCCTCCACAGGCTCTGGGGAGAAAACAGAGAAATAGTTGGTTTCTGGTGGCTGCTGGCATTCCTTGCTTGTGATCACATCATTTCATCTCTGCCCCCATGGTCACATTGCCTCCTCTCTCTTTAGTGTGTCAGATCTCCCTCTGCCTCTCTCTTCTAGGGGTACATGTGATCGTATTTAGGACCTACTCAGATGATCCAGGATAGTCTCAACCTTCCATCTGAACAGTCTTAACCATAACATTTACAAAGACCTTGTTTCCATATAAGGTATTATTGATAGGTTCTAGGGATCAGGAACTGAATGTCTTTGGGGTCATTATTCAGCCTATTCCACACTGCCTGAGAGTTCATCGGCTTAGCTAAGAGCTGGCATATGAAGCGTCCTGGCATACCCAGGACGAAGGTGCTGGGTGTCAGGGGTGGAATTCTGGCTCTGTGTGAGACACCTTGTTGGGTGCCCCACCAACTCCACCCCACCTGACCTACACAAGCATCAAGTGGATTTACCAGGACTCAGACCCAGATATGTCTAATTTCAGAGTGCTTTTTGCTGGCATTATTTGCTGCCTCTCAAGGGCAATGTTGCCTACTTTACCTCTTTAACATAGTAAATCTGCTCCTCCCCTTCCTCCACTGCTATTGCATTGTTCGGATCCTTGTCTCTTATCTGAACTATTGCTTTAGTGTCCTAATTGGTCTTCTGGCTTCTGGTTTCTCTCCATTATTGCTGAGAATGATGTTCTCACAATTGCTGACCTTGTCACTTCCTGACCTACAACCCTACACTGTCACCTCCAAGGTAAGATCTAAACTCAGACCTGGCTTTCATGGCCTTCCATAAGCTCCTCTAAGCCTTATCTCCTGACACTGTATTCCATTGTGCGTGTATTTAGAAGGCCAGGTTTAAAGTCCACAAAGCGTGGGTTTTAATCCTGGCTCCTACATGTTTAGCTGTGTGAACCTGGGCAGGCTGTTTACTGTCTCTGAGCCTTAGTTTCCTCATCTCCACAATAGATAATGCTTCCTACCTCAGGATTATTGTATTGATTAAAAATTATATATCCAAGGTACCCAGTACAATGCTGGTATGCAGTAGCTTTTTTATTATCATTACTACATATGAAACTGTCATCTCCAACAAAGTATGAGCTCTTTAAGGACAAGAATGTGTCACGTTCACATTTGTTTCCAGAGTTATTTAGCACGTTAGGCCTAAGAACAAAGATAGGGAGAAAAAGTAAGACTAAAACAAATCAAGATGAGAGAAAGATAAAGAAAAGGACAGAGAGACAGAGGCAGGGACAGATGAAGAAACTATTTGTAAAATTCTGTGTTTTCTGGATGTTCGGTATAACACCTTGTAGGTTTCTTCCACGCTGTGTGCCTCGGTTTCCTCTCCTGTAAAATTGGCGGGCAGTTGAACTCGATGATCTCTAGTTCTAATTCTCACTCTCTGCTCTAGCCTGGGAAAAGTGTTTCCCTGGAGCAGGGGATACCCTTTCTGACCAAGCCGATGAGAGGCAGCTTCATCAGGTGTCCAGTGCTGCCCACCACCCTAATGGGGTCTTTTGAGGAGAAGCCAGGTTAGAGGCTGGTGGGCTAGAACAGATGGAGAGCTGACCTCAGTTATAATGTGCCTGATTCTGGATGGGATAACCTTGGCGGGCATTTGGACTTTAGACCACATTAGGCAGGTTGTTGTTATTCATTTACTCATTCATTCATTCTTTCTTTATTTTTCATTCATTCATTTATTTTTGAGACGGAGTCTTGCTCTGTCACATAGGCTGGAGTACAGAGGCGCGATCTTGGCTCACTGCAACCTCTGCCTTCTGGGTTCAAGTGATTCTCCTGCCTCAGCCTCCCTAGTAGCTGGGACTACAGGTGTGTGCCACCACGTCTGGCTAATTTTTGTGTTTTTAGTAGAGACGAGGTTTCGCCATGCTGACCAGGCTGCTCTCAAACTCCTGACCTTGTGATCCGTACGCCTCAGTCTCCCAAAGTGCCGGGATTACAGGCATGAGCCAATGCTCATTCATTATTTATTACTCATTGATTCATTCAACAGATAAGTTATCAATCACCTCTTCTGTGCTGGGCCATGTAATAGGTATATAGAACATTCACACTGGCTATGTAGAGTAAACAAAACAGGGATGGCTGTGCTCTCAATCTGTTTAGAGTCCAGGTACTATTGACATGTTTGGCTAAAAGATTCTGTGTTGTGGGGACAGTCCTGTGCATTGTAGGGTGTTTAGCAGCATCCCTGGTTTCTCCCACTAGATGTCAGCAGCATCCACCTCATTGTGACAACCAAGTGTGTCTTCAAACATTGCCAAACATTCCCTGGGGCAAATGTACCTGTGGGTGAGAACCACTGGTGTAGCGGTTGTACAGTATCTGGTGGAGATGCAGCAAGTGACATGAGAGAGGTGGGCCGGATCTTGACTGGGAAGGGTCTTGGCTTCCCTACTTGGAAACGAGTAATCCCTGAATGGATCCCTGGAGACAGGGAAGGGGAGAGGGATCCACTCACAGGCTGCATTAATCTGGTAGACTGTTATCTAACCACCCCCCTCATTACTTGGGCAGGGAAGAGTGTCCTCCCTCCATTTCTAGCACACCTCAATACCCAAGATGCCTCTCCCTTCTCTACTTGCCCAAGACTGCTGGTATTTATAGCTTGTCTGTCTAACTCAGACCCACTTCTCACTCAAGAGGGAAATTAATCTCTCTCTCCAGATCCCACACTATCACTTGCCTCATGGCTTCCTCATTCGCCTGCTCTTCCAATCCAGGCACCAGCAATTTCCCAGCTGTGCCTCCCTTTCTCCACTGACAGTTGACCATGGCTCTGAAAATTGGCTCTTGGAATCAGTTGTGCCTGCCCAGCTGGGCCCCAGCTCAGCAGTGCCTGGGACTTTGATGCAGCTCAACCTGAGAGGGGGCTCTGCTTTTCTGAGAGATACTCAGCTCCTGCTTGTCTCACATATATTTTTAGAAGCTTCAACTGGATGCACAGTTAAAATGAGACTGAAGACCAAAGTAAATATTTGCATAGCAGGATCTTGGAGTGGCAGGGAAGAGAGAAGAAAGAGAGGAGTTCTGATGGGCCTGGCTTTAGGCCTCAGCTCTGTTTCTGAGTATTTCTGCACTTGCGTGGGGCAAGTATCCTCTAGGTATCAGTTTTCCAATCTGTAAATTTGGAGGAGGGATTAGCTTGCGGATGAAATGTTTTGAAACATTTCAGCTCTGATGTTCTGTGAGCCTCTATATCAGAAGGGCCATTAAGGGGTTCCTGAACCCTCTGATACTACAGACAAACTGTGTAAATTTTCTGGGGAAAGTATTCAGAATTTTCTATAATTTTCAGAAAAAAATCAGCATCTTCTAAAATGTTAAGAATCTCTGCTCTAGGTCTATGGATAGAGATAATTGAGTTTATCACCACCTTCCTGGTAATATTCCTTCTTCTCATTTTCTGACCTGTTCCCTTGTTATAGTCTGACTCCTCTGGGATTAGTGAGAATCTGGCAGAGTGTGGGGGAGTAAAATCAAGTTAGACTTGAAATGGAATGAAAAATATGAAGAATCTATCCTGAGTGCATCTGCACTAACTTAACTAAAAAACCTCAAAGAGTCTGGCGGCCCAAGTCTGCTGCAGGGGTCAAAGAACAGTTCAGCAAAGATGATCCCTAGGAGCTGACTGCAAAACTCAGCTGAAATCTGGGCCATTCTGTGGGTGAGAATTGGGGTTCAGTCTTTTTCTGGGAAGCATCAAATCCTGGGCTCAGAACTTAAAAGACCCACTATAGGGTTTGCTGGAGGGACAGGACATGGGGTCCTCCACCTTTAAAAGAAGCCCACTCTCCTGCCCTTGTGTCTTCACCCCTGATTGGGCCTGAATCTGAAGCACTTACATGGATGAATGGAATGAGCAATGTCCTGTGAATCAAGAGACCTATATTTGAGCATCAGCTTTCACCAAATGCTGTATGCCTTGGGCAGCCTTGGGCAGGTCACTGACCCACTCCTGGGCTTCAATTTCTCCATTTAGACAATAAAGAGGAATTGGCTTGCTTCACAGTTTCACCAAAGAATGACTATTATTATAGTGACACTCCATTATAATACCTCATTATTGGCCATTTCCTTGCATTTATTCCTCATTTTGAGACATCCTTGTTATATTTCAAGCAAACCAGCAATGAATCCCATGCCTAGGAAGGGTGTGATGATAAACTTAAATCCCAGTCTTTAGGACCCTCCTGGCTCTAACATTTTATGATTTTTTTTCCTGCTCTGATGTTACTTTCTTTTTTAACTGTTGTTTTGAACTTAAAACTTAGGGAATGAAATTAATGTTGATGGCCATGGACTATTTTCCAGGCACTGTGCTAGTTTCATTTATTACAAGCAAGGTAGATTTTGGTATCCTTGTGTTATAGGTTAGAAAACAGAGGTTCAGAGATGTCACCTTTCTAATACCACTCAGTTAGCAAGCGGACGGTTAGGACTTAAACTCGGGTCTGTCCTACTACAAGGCCTGTGGCTTGAAAAATTATTTTTATGCTATAATTCTTTATTGTTTTAACTTTCTTAAAATTAATTCATTTATTCAATATTTATTGAGTACCTGCTGTATAAGGTACTGTACTAGACGCTATGGGTTTAGAGATGAGAAATCAGTCTGTTCTTGAGCAGCCTTTAGAGAAGATACGTAAATAAAAGTTGCAAGTTAGGGCAATGACACTATGGCAGAGGGAAATAAGGGAAGTCAGGGTGCAAAAAGTGGGATTTAGTATTGGAGACACCCTGGAAGCTTGTTAGAATAGGAAACACCTGAGCTGAATGGCGGGGGTAAGATTGTCTTTTTTTTTTTTTTTTTTTACTGAGATAACTCTTCATTAAACAAGTTAGTCAACAATTAATTCAGAATCTATGATGTACCAGATACTTTTCTAGTTTCAGGACCACAATTGCATACAACGACCAACTCTTGTGGAGCTCACAAGGGAAGAAAGGCAGTAAACCAACCAACAAATACAGTATAAGATTGAAATCCAGGTGACTTGGAGGAAAAGTAAGACTTGGCCAGGTAAAGCTGAATGGCATGAAACGGCATCCTGAATAAAGGCAGAGGCATGTGCAAGCATGCTGAGGCATGACGATCCCTTCAAAGATGTTTGTCATGGCTGGAATATCTTCTAAAAGATGAAGAAGGAAGTAAGAGAAAAATGCAAGCACAGATCATCATGAATGCCTTGTGTGATGTTATGAGTATGAACTTTCTTCTGCAGATAATGGGAAGTCAGGGGAGGGTTTTAAGAGACAGAGACACAATGCTCAAATTTGTTTCTAGGGTGATTTCTCCTGTGACCCTGGTGAAGGGGGATTTGGAGGGGACCCAGACTACAGACAGGAGGAAACATCCTGGTCCAGGGAGAATGGTGAGTGGGCCTGAGCTCAGGCACTATCAGGGGAGTTGTAAGAAGGACAAAGAATTGGAAATATTTGTCTAGTAAGAAAGATGATACTTGGGTGCTAGAAGAGGTGACTAGACTAGGAAAAGTATCAAGAACAGCATACCAGGTTCCTGCCTTGGAGAACTGTATGGTGGTGTCCCCATCGACCTTGGGTAGGAAGTCTAAAGGTGGCAGGGAGCTCTGTGTTCCCTAGAGTACTTTCCATCCCACCTTTCTTAGTAGTAATGTTGCCTAATTTTATTTTACTGTACCGATGTGCCAAGTGGCTATTATGATTCCTATAGTGAATCTCCATTAAAAGGACCAGTTACTGCAATTTTCCTGTATCTAATGCTCTTCTGCGGATATGTCAAGCAAAGCTGACAATGATCCCACTCACAGGATGGGTATGAGGCTGGCCTTAAACTGCCCATGAGGCCAACATATTTATCCAGTCTTTAGGACAGAATATGTTTTCTCTGGAACTTTTCCTTTCTCTTCCATTCTCACTCCCCCATACCTCTGACGGGCCAGCTGGCCTGTCTGTCTGACTGCCTCCTTCTCTTTTATATATGCTAATCAGGATCCACTCACTGTCAGGATATAAAACATGCCTGTTCCATGTCTCACTCCATCCTGCTCCATTTTAGTAACAATAAGAACAAGCATATTATATCCCATGTGCTCATTCATCCCATGGACAACAGGATTTCTTAAAACAGTTCTATGCCGTTTGTCATGTTTCCTCTGTGGCAGGGCCTCTGCCCAAAAGACTGTTCCAAACCCCCTGCCTTGTTGCCTCTAAGTAAGTAACTCCTACTAATTCTTCAGACGTCAACTCCACTGCCACTTTGACAAGAGAGCCATCCCTGACCTCTGGGCTGAGTCAGTCTGCCATCCTGTACTCTCCCAGAACTTCCTGGCACTCCTTCACAGTTCTGTCACAGTGGTAACTTTACATTGTATGTGTAATTTTTGATAAATATCTATTTCTTTTTTGTTTTGTTTTTGAGATGGAGTCTCACTCTGTAGTCCAAGCTGGAGTGCAGTGGCACGATCTCAGCTCACTGCAACCTCCACCTCCTGGGTTCAAGCGATTGTCGTGCCTCAGCCTTCCAAGTAGCCGGGACTACAGAGGCACGCCGTCAAGCCTGGCTAATTTTTTTGTATTTTAGTAGAAACAGGGTTTCACTATGTTGCCCAGGGTGGTCACAAACTCCTGAGCTCAGGAGATCCTCCTACCTCGGCCTTTCAAACTGCTGGGATTACAGGTGTCAGCCACTGTGCCTGGCCAAATACCTGTTTCTTTCACTAGGCTACCAAGTTCTGTGATTGCAAAAATGATGTCTGCTTTGTTCACCATAATTTCCCCTGTGCTTAGCAGTGTCTGGCACATTAGGTGTTCAATTAAATATTTGCTATGTGAAACAATCAATATTGCTAATGGCAGGAATTTACATTAGCTTCTGTTTCTTCTTCCTAGGCCAAGATTATCTCAGGATTTCATGAAGAGGAGAAATGGAGGTCATTTCCTAGAGATTAATGGAGAATTTGATTGTGAGAAGAAAATTGTTTAAGGAGCAGGGGTGGGTGTGGAGGCAAATGTCACACACTCCAGAAGGTAAAGTGAGCTGGCTCTTCCCCTCTTACTCCTTGGAAAGAGGGAAAGCTCATCAGAGCCAGGACCCTGGAAAAGTGATGTGATGAAGAGAAGGAGGCCCTGAATAGCACCATCTGAAAGGCATTTCCAAGGAAGCCAGGGATGTGACTCTGTCTTGGTTGCAGAGATCAAAAGGTTTTGTGAAGGAAGCAATGGCTCTCTAGCCCCCTTCTGGGTGAATTCTGGGGTAGAGGGATCCGGTTCCTTTGATAACTGGTTAGTTATAGCTATAGGGTGAAGCCAGTTGAGTCATATTGGTCTGGGCTTCCAGAGACACAAGGTCTTCTTGAACCATAAGCTCTCTGAACAATGCCCCACCTAGGCAGAGCAGAGAACCCTGAACTTTTGCCTGGAGAGAACAAAGAAGTGCACGTCTTGGGAGCCACCAGACCTGGGACTACCCATTGGACCCCTAACCTCCACTGTTCTTGGCCTGTCTCTCTTTCCCATTAGATTGTGAGTTCTTTGAGGACAGAGACTACCTCTTCTCCATCCTTGTTTCCCTAGCCTAATACACCATCAAATAATGCTGCAGAAAGAAAAAGTAAAGGAATAAATAAATAAACCTTAGATAAGTGGTCCATCCACTAATCCTCAATTCCTGATTAGTAAAATGAGAATAACAATAGCTACTAACAAAAGTATTGTGTAGACTGTACGACTTAATGAATGTGAAAGCACCTGGTATGGAATTTAACATAAAATAGATAATCAAAAATACATTATCCTCTTTGTTTCGACTTTAATCACACATCCTCCCTTTAAGTACTCACTGAACTTTAGTGACTTTCATATTTTCTAGCCTTAACTTTACAGTGCATCAGTGGTTAAAGAATCATAAAATATCAGAGCAAGAGGGCACCAAAAGTGGACATTTGTCTTGCTTTGTCTTGTTTTATTTTCCTGCTCTTAATGTATTCCCTCTCACACACATCATTTTCCTGTATTGAGCCCCCAATCTCAATTCCGTGACTCAGGAGGAGCTGACCCCATTCAGACTCTGGGGATGGAGTCAGCCCAATGGTGGCCAATCAGAGCACTGATATACCTCTTTCCACAGTGATTAGTGAGGTATGGCATGGCCCATACCTGACTCAGTTCTGGGACTTGTGAAACAGGGAGTTACCCTTACACTGAGAGGCTGGGATATCCACCAGGAGCTTCTGGCAGCCAATTTGCTTCTAGCAGGGGAGAGCTGGTTGAATAATGAAGCCAATGCTTAAGAAACAGTGCTGAGGGGTTGAGGACAGAGAGCTTCAGACTAAGCCTTGATGATGCTGAGTCCTTAGATCCAGCAATGCCTGAAACAAGTATCCCTTTGGACTTTTGAGTTTTATGAGCTAATTAATTTTCCTTTTTATTTAAGTCAGTTTGAGTTGGGTTTTCTGTCCCTTGCAACCAAATTTTGGCTAATACAAGATGTTGGAGTTTGTTTCATCACACCTCTTAATTTTATAGATGAGGAAGAGATGTGCAAATCACATGAGCAGTTTTTACACACACCAATTTTCCAAATAACTATATTGCTTCAATTCCTTTTATCCTTACTGCTGACCAGAACAGGGACAGGTTGTTCTTACACCTGAATAGGGTCATAGAATAGTATTGATTTTGGTCACAGAATGCCTAATCTTTCTGTAACAGAGCAAATTTTTAAATTCAAGTCCTTGGGAATCAGTTTTGTTTTGCATTACAATGTTTTTATCCCCCAAGCAGAACTGCTGATGGCTATCCTTTTCCTTCCACACAGCATAATCAGCAGCAATTAATTACAATCACAAGGAGACAGCAGAAATGAACAGAGCATTAATTGGACAGAAGTAATCAAAATCTCCCTTAGCCCACAGTTAGTACCTGTATGCAGGAAGATGTGAGGAGGCACATGCATGTGTACACACACACAAACATACACACACCCTACAGTCAACCAGGGAATAAGAAGAGGATATAGGATGAGCATCCTCTCTCATCAGCATGGTACAGTAGAAAACAAATCAAGGACTTTGGAGTCACAAAGATCCCACCACTAACCAGTTGCTTAAACTTAGCTTTCTCATTTGTAAAACAAAGATACACAGACCTACTTCAAAGTGGATGAGAATATTAAATAAGAGTATTATGTGTAAAGCACTTTTTACTGGTATGTAGCAGGAACTCTATACCTTCTAGTTCTTTTTCCCTCCACATCAAACACCTTTTGTGGCTGGTAGAGAATGAAGACCTAATAAGATCGGAAATTTTAGACCCTCGGATGTTCTTAATTCAGCCTAACCAATTTGATCATCTCCCCTAGACCCTCTGCTTAATCCTACACCATTCCCCTTTCCCAGTCTCTGCCCCCTGTCCCACATTCCTGCTTCCTCTTGCCTCTTTGCCTCTTTCCCCTCTGGGTTGTCAATTCTGGGAGGGCAGCTTGGTATCCCTGTTGCCCCTCACGGGACCTGACACACAGTAAACAATGAGTGGACATTTGTTTAATAACTATTGATGGAGTCTGTGTCTGTGCTTATGTTCTCCTTCCACCCGCAGCATCCAGCCCTTCTAATTTGGTCTCAGTCTTAGTCATCCTTCAAGGCTTAGCCTAGAAGCTACCACCTCCTCCATGAAATCTTTGAAACTTGTCCCTGGGACCACTATCCCCTCCTCTGAACTCGGTACCTCTTTCATGACACCTGCAGCTTTTTATCTTGTGTTATAAAATTTACACAGGTGTTTCTTCTTCACTATGACCTCGAGTTTCTTCACTCAGTCATTCAACCTCTTTGAGTTAGTGTATGCTGGTAACTATAGATACTGAGGCATCAGAATGGGTATGTGTCCTTGAGATGCTCAGGTTCAAAATAGTACTTGAGCACAGCAACTGTGTCTGACTCATCTTTCAACACCCCATGCCTTGGGCCACTGTGGGTGATCCTCAAATACTTGAAAATGGCAATAGGTAGCCTATGAGAAGGCATCTGAGTCAGAATACTGGTGAGTCTTGTGAGGTTATAGAAGGCCAGTGAGCTCCCTCAGGTTGGACACAAATGCCCCTGGGTTTTCTGAAGGAAAATATTTTATATTATGGAGAGAAATCTGGCTCTAGATCATGCCATATACTACGTACTCGAATCAAAAAATCCCTGAATAAACTGTGACTTGGTGCCCAGGGATATACAGCTTCAACAATTTACCTGAAGAAGCTCTGACTACAGTCAGGCCCAGCTTTGCCACTGGTTTCACAGGGATGTTGAACAAGTCATTTATCTTCTCTGGGTATCAGTTTAGCTACCTCAACTTTATGCAACCAACAATTATGGACACCTACTGTGTTTCTGGCACTGTGCCTAGTCCTGGAAATACAGAAATAATTCATATATGATTAGCAATTTTGAAGGCACTAATCTAGTAGCCAATATGAAAAGGGCCATCAAAGAGAGGTGTTGTAACAACTCTACGTTGTGTAGCTCTCCTTCTTCCTTTCTTTCTGGATAAATTCCCAAGCTCCTTTACCTGACATCAGGTTTCTTGTGATTTGCCACTGCCTACCTGTTTAGTTTCTCCTCCACATTGACCCTGCACCCCATCCTGGCCATGCTGTAGTGCTAGTCATTCCCTAATGCTCCATTATCATTCATGTATTTGCCCATGTAGTATCACTCCAAAATTCTCTACCTGCTAAATGTATGATGATCCTTCAACACAAAGTGAAAGTGCCATAATTGAGGTGTACACAGAAAGAGCATCACATTTGTAAAGGAAGAAGAATTCTAATATTATAGTTTTTTAAAAACTTCTTTTATTCTTTTCTTTTTCTTTCTTTCTTTTTCCTTCCTTCCCTCCTTCCCTTCTTTCCCTTCCCTTCCTTCCTCTTCTCTCTCTCCTTTCTTTCTTTTGTAAAAGGAAGAGATTGAATTAGATTAACTCTACCAACGCTGTACCACCCAATGATCAATGATGTAGTAATTACGTAATCTTTGTACTGGGTCTTTGGACCTCATGATCACACTGTCTGACCTGTGCTTCCCTCATGGTGTTTGAAAATGTCCCAAGAGCCAATTAACCCATATGATGATTCATTTTATGTGTCAACTTGACTGAGATGCCTAGACATTTGGTCAAACATTATTGTGGATATGTCTGTGAGGTTATTTCTGGGTGAGATTAAAATTTCAGTGAGTAGACTTAGTTAAGTAGATTGCCCTCCCTGATATGGGTGGGCCTCATCCAATCAGTTGAAGATTGAATAAACAAAGAGGCTGAGAGGGCATTCCCTCTCTACTGACTACTGACTACTCGAGCTGGGTCTTTTTTGACTTTTGGACAAGAACTGAAATACGGTTCTTCTTGGGTCTCAAGTCTGTTGACTTTCAGATTGGAACTTGCACCATCAGCTCTCCTGTTTCTCAGGCCTTCAGCCTTAGACATATCAGCTCTCCTGGGACTCCAACTCATTGACTGCAGATTTGGGACTTCTCAGTCTCCATAATTGCATAAGCCTATTCTTTATAATAAATGTCTTTATGCATATAATCTCTTTACATATATATATGAAAGCAGAACCAAAAGGAGATATAGATGTAGATATGGATATAGACGTAGACATAGATATAGATATTGATATTGACATAAATATTCTATTGGTTCTATTTCTCTGGAGAACCCTGACTAATGCGACCATATTGCAGGCCTTGGGCTTGGCTTTCTGAAGAATGTTCCTCTCAATGGTGAGTAAAATGTCAAGTCTCCTCTACCACACCCAACTTTTCATTTCCTATATTCTTGGCTCTGCTGTTGATTATTGTTTTCTCACTAGAGGAAAGATACCGTAAGATATGGGAAAGAACAATTTCATAGAATCCTGCTACATGGAGCTAACAGAACCCTTAGAGATAATTAGGTTTCTTATTTCAGAGCAGTGAGGTGCCTGTCCATGGTTCTGTTCTTTGTAGACACTTGTGGAATGCCTTCCTGTTACTCCAACTCTCTCTTCTCCTCTTATTGAAGGCTTAACCTCCCTTTTAGACCCAGCTCAAAATCTGCTCCATTTAGAAGGTCTTCCCAGATTCCCCCAAGTTTGAATTCATTGCTCTGTTTTCTGTATCCCCACAGAATTCTGTTAATATCTTTTACTTAGCTTTAATTTGTTTTATAATTGGAGATAGATCAAGAGGCAGGTTAGGCAGATGGGGTACCAGATATTATTTGTAGTGGGATAATAAAGCATCAGTAAAAACAGAACAAGTTGGAGAAAATTATGTTCATCAGAATTCTTCACCAATATGTAACTGGAAGAAAATTGGAGACTCAGAGAGATAAGTAACTTCTTCTCAAATAATTCAGCTAGAAAGTAGCTGAGCTTGGATTCAAATCCAAGTCTGACTTCAAGATCCATGCTCTTGTTGGTTATTCATGTAATAATTTGTGTAAAATGTTAACTGTGTGCCAGGTACCATGCTAGACACTGGGATGCAAAAGTTCAAGCCTGGTTGTCCAGGGTTATGGTAGATAGTGGCAAAATACAATCAAATTCCTTGTGTTAGTCTTTGGTCTCTAGGTCTGAGACTTCTGTCTCACTGGGTGATTTCACCCTAGGATACTCCACAGCCAGTTCCACAGCTTTCTCTCTTTCCAAGAGCAGACAAGACGCTTTCTTAGAATAACCCCTTTGCTTACCCCAATATCTTTGGCTGTGCCCACTGTGGAAAGAGAGCCAGGCTGCTGCCAAGTTCATTAATAATTTTGG